AGGAACACGAGTCTGTAAATGTGGGATAAATGTGACAACCCCAGCCAACAGTAGCATCAGAAAGAAGGAGCACAGAGAAGTACCAGAGGCTAAAGGCACAACTGCAGCAGATGTGGAAAATAAAGTCCAAATTCTCTTTCTCTCTCCCTCTCTTACTCACACACAGACACACGCACTTATATAGGTGTGTGTCTGTGTGTGTGTGTGTCAACAATACCTCATTGCACTGCTTTCATGCCCAAGCTGTAGCTCATCTTTAGTTTGTGCAGACTCGTGCATCCTGGATACTGACAACGACCAGATGCTCCCACATCAGTATCATCATAACTTCTTTGCACTTGTGATTTTTTTTGAGAATCCATGTCAAAGTATCTTTAATTACATATGAGACTTTACATAACAAGGCACCAGATTTCATCAGTCAGCTCTGTGCTGTTAAAAAGGGCTTTGCTGGGTAAGGCCATGTAGCTGCTTCGAGGTCCAGGTTAAAGTCAAAGAGGCTTCTTTTGTTTCGTCTTGCATCTCTTCTTGTTACAATTTAGTATTCAATCAATGTCCTGACTAACTAATATTTTGAATATTTTATTTTGCCAAATACAGCTCATAGTTACCACTAGACTCCATGTTAACTATTTAAAATACTCTTTTATGCCTTGTACTATGTTTTTTCTGTATGAAAATATGAGTTTGTTTCTGTTTTTGCCTTCAACATTTCTCTGCCTCTTAAGCATTTTTTAACGCTTTATCCTAATTTTCTTGGTTTTTGTTGTTATTATAGCAATTTTTTTTCTTCCATTGGTCATAGTTAAAGCTATGATAGTGTTTGTGCTGTAAGTGAAGCATTATTTCTGACCTAAAATGGCCAATATGCCATTTGACCTTTGAGATAAATGTTTTGAGAGCTTCTTTCTAGCAGAAAGAAGCTCTCAGAACATGTTTCAAAAGTATCTCCTTCATCAAAGATGTCATCAGGGTCAAAGAAAGGTGGGTAGGAAAATAGATAAGGGCTTAGGAGAAGAGAAGAGTGGTGCTCTGAGAATCTGAGCAACCTAGCACTAGTCTCCTTAACAGCGTGACTCTGGATGTTTGCTGGGTTGAAACTACAATAGGCAGAAGATGGACTACAAAATACATCTAATCCACCACAAGTTGTTCTTAGCTTGTTGTTTTATTCAGGTCAATTAAACGATAAGAGCCTGTGAAAAATACCTCTGCATTACAAGTCTAAAGAAGGAGGAGCATTTAGGGAAAGGTTTACTGTGACAGTACAAAACCTTTTGGTGTTAAAAAAAACTGCTGGATTTACCTAAGATGTCAGTTTTGTGAGTGAAAGTTGTGGACAGGATTATCTTTGCAGCTAGCCTTATGGTATATGTAGTTGTAAGAGTTTCCCTTCCAGGAGAATATTCCCATGTTTGCAGTTTGCAGCACACAATTTACTGCAAGTTGCACAAAATCCAATTCCAAAAAAGCATGTCTTATGCCTAAGGTGGCTGTGATGGTTGCTACTAGGGTTGTCTTCTTTAAGAGGGGGAAATGTTATCAGAATGAGTGTAATTGGCACTTTGTGTACGCGCAAATCTGTGAGAGCAGGGCCAAAACTTTGGCTAAAAGCCTTCATGCCATCCTCACGCTGAGTGTTTACAGGTGAGCCCCACTTATTTAGCCCCAATAATACTGGAGTTTTCATGAAAGAGAGCAGAAATAACTGAACTGAGCTCTTTTTCTCAGCAGTGCGCACACGGCAGGCAACGTCTCTGAGGTTGAATCTGTAATGATTAAAAGTAGGGATGCAACGATACCAATTTTTTCAAACCGATACTTGGATCTGAGTACTTGCCGATACAGAGTACAAAAAACGATACTTCTACCACACACACACACACACACACAAATCTAATTAATTGGAAGACAGGTTT